CTACACAATAAGCATATGTTCAGTCTCTCAGGCATTTCCTCGAACACTTAAGGCACATGATAGCATCATTATTCAGGGAAATATAAAAGCAAATGGATACACGAGTTAAACGGACATAACAGCACACATAAACGTGTATTTGAGAGAGAGAGAGAGAGAGAGAGAGAGAGCGCGGGAACAATTTTTAATTCAGTTTATACCTAAAGCGGCTGAGGGGTAACAGTGACGAGTTGAGGTTGATTGACTGAGTGAGCGGAAGGAGTTCGCTGGGTTCCGACTTCTGAGCTCCTGCGCGGTGGCCGGTGGCCAGGGCGAGGCGGGCCGACCTACTGGCCGAATCTCATTTTAAAGATTCTACTAGCACCCAAAAACTATTATGTCCATAAGCTCAAACTTTTTTTCTACTTTCTTTATTTGCCAATAGAACTTTACATTTTTCCTTTTATATTCCTCTGGGATTCAAATTCTTTGGAATTTTAAAGATAAATTACAAAAATAAAATTTTACACCAAATTTCACCTCCACTTTGAGATATCGTTTCACTTATATCAAAGACCTAAAAAGTCTAAAAAGATCTCGAAAATCTTAAAATTCAGTCAAAATTCTAAATGAATACACTTTCTTCATGATTCACTATTCATCTACTCACATATTTTTTAACTAATCATCACTTCATATCATATCTTTTCTATTTTTACATTAAATTAGATTTAATTATTTTATTTTAAATATCATTTTAATATAAATTTAAATCTCAATAACAACTAACCATCCATCTTTTTTCAAATTAACTATAATTAACCAAAAAAATCCACTTTGAATAAAATTTGTTGTATACAAACATGCTCTATAATTTTTGTTTATAAGACAACCTAACGATTAAATGTGTGAGCAAATAAAAATATAATAATATTATGGAATATCATAATTTTCTTTATGATTCTTTTCATAATTTCTAATAAAAATATATACATTTGTAAAAATATATGTATAATATCGATAGTATATCTATATTTTTATTGTTAACCTGTCTTGGTTGTCTATAAATATTCCCCTGAAATCAATATTTCTCTTTGTGATCTCTCCCTTGAGACTCTACTCGAGCAACATCTACAGACACATGGACATACAAACATAAATAATTAAATTAAATACATCAACAAGGATAGCATCAAATAACTCTACACTTGTGCTTTGACCAAATCAAGGCTAGTCAAGAAACCCCTTTTTAAGGTTCTTTCTCCGTGCTGCTTCATATTTGTCAAATTCCATTTTCTTGATTATTTTTTTTTTTTCTCTTTTATAAAGACTGGGTTCTGTTTATTTTTGTATTCCGATAAGTGATATCTGGGTTTACGCGGATTTTCTTGGGGATAGTGAGGGTTTTATTTATTTTTGTATGCTGATATTGGGTTTACGCGGTTTTGTCTTGGGGACCCTGAGTCCTGTTAAATTTACTGATTTTGGGAAATTGACTTTGATTAGATAAGTAAGCTTGTCTATGTTAGGTGAAGTTACTTGGCTAAAACAGGAGGAAAAGCAAGGTTTGTGGGAGTTGCTGCTAAAAAGTTGGAAGCTTGGATTAAAAAGATGTTGATTTGGTGCCTTTGAGTTGACCCAGATTTGAATCGTTGGTAAAGAGTGACTCCTCTGATATTAAAATTGTTATCTGCGTATTATTGCTTGTGAATTTGGGATAAAACGCTGGGTCTTATTATTTTTGTTTGTTTTGTTTTCTCAAGGGAAACAGATGGAAATGTAATTGCTCTGTGTTGGATTAATTTTGACTCTGTACTGTCCTGGATTTCAAAATTTGGATAATCTTGGTCCCTGGCTTACCAAAAGTCATCAAGGAACATTGTACTGAAATAGATTGTTTCTGCCCCTTTTGCTTGCTGAATGAATATATGTTCAATGTTGTGCTGCCCAGTATATGTATGACCTTTTTCATATTGAATCACACGAATTTTGGAATTTAATGTCCTTGTGCGGCGAATTTCCTACTATATGTTATATGCGGTGAATTTGCCTTTCCACATGAATTATTGCTTCAACTATTCTTACCTGTAGTTTTTAATGCGCCAAATTACTACGATGGGACCCACAGTATTGCATTCGAGTTGTTGGATTGCTTAGGTGTTTCTTAAAGATTTTAGTAGAGGCGGATGCTTTGCGTTCGCTATTTGTTTTATGCTTAAGGAAACTGAATCACCATTTGCTAGTTTAGGCATCAGAATCATGTGGAGTACATTTACAATATACTGCTTTTGTCTGAAAATAGATGTATCTCCTTTGAGCTACGGAAGTTGTTGGTTAAACATCGTGGGAGTTTGAAGATTCATTTTTGTTCGAATCTGAGGAGTCATTTCAAGATGGGCTGTTTATGTTCAAAATTGTCTTGCTGTTGTATCTCTGAGCATAATGGACCGGTCCATGAAGCAAAGAATACTGGTTGGTCCATCTAACCTTCCTTTTTCCCCGTTTCATTATTGGCTACCCAATCTGTAAATTCTGATGAGGTGATTTATTTATCTTCAATAATTTCAGTGACTGAGGAGAAAAGTGAACTCAGCGATATACCTGTATTTCGTGAATTTTCAATTGAACAACTGAGGATGGCTACATCTGGGTTCGCTGTAGAAAATATAGTTTCGGAACATGGGGAGAAAGCTCCAAACGTGGTTTATAAAGGGAAATTGGAAAATCAGAAACATATAGCTGTCAAACGCTTTAACAGATCTGCTTGGCCTGACGCCCGTCAGTTCATGGTAGATTGTTCTTCATTTAAGCTGACTGATATTTCAGATTTTTATGCATCTTTAATTTAATTCAAATTTATGTCTCATTTTACTTCACCTTGATTAATGATTGCTAAGCTTGGACCACACAGGCTACATTGTGTCTCTGGACTAAATTAACCTAATAAAGCATAGTATTTTGCATTTTTCAATTTTTTTTTCCATAGTTTTCAATATGCACCCTCATTCGATATTTTAACTTTGTAGAAAATTCTAAGTTATCTGTGTACTTGTGTTGAATACTTGATAAAATTCAGGAAGAGGCCAAAGCTGTTGGTCATCTTCGAAACTACAGATTGGCAAATTTACTTGGGTGTTGCAGTGAAGGGCAAGAGAGGTTACTGGTTGCTGAATTTATGCCTAATGATACTCTTGCCAAACATCTATTTCACTGTAAGTAAATGTTTTGCATTTTCTGGTTGCTGGTTCAAGTTCAGATATTTTACCGGTGTCAAATGCTATATGATAACTAGCTTTATCAAGTATCACATATGCTGGTGCCATAGTCGATATATAGTCGATTGACGGTAATTTTCCGTAGAGAGTTTGGTTTGTCTACTGCTGTCTGTCGTCAAGTGGGTTTTCTCACAATTTATTTTAGAATCTTGTTCATTTAGCCTATTGTACATCGGAAATGGTTAGCAATTGGCTTGAGTGGGGGAGTTCTAATTTCTTTGGTTCTCTGGATGCTGAAAAACATTAGTCTTACACTTTTGAACTACTAATTTGGGATACTGATAGTCCCAGTATATATGTTTAAATTTGAAAATTTTCTAACTGATACTTAAGTATACCGATTAGGAATTATGTAACATTCACATTCAGGTGGGTGAAGGCAGAATGATGGGGTTTATTGAATTTCTGTCGTGACATTTAGCAAAAATAAATCAAGAAATCTGGAATCTTTATTAGACTTTGAGCTTTTGCCAATGGGGAAGGTAGTTCCTAAGATGCAGATGTAGACTTGTTATGTTTATGCCAATTTAAAACGTAAATTTGACCCCAAAATCACTTAACTAAAGAAAAGCCATGTTGGCACAGAATGAAATAAATCAATAGTTGCAGTTATTTTCCATTTTGCTTGGATTAGCACCCATATGATTTACAAGATTTTTGTGTTTCTATTCCCAACCTCATTTTGTTTAGTTTTCAGCCATTTGATGTTTATTATGCTTCATTTCTATGTGATCTAAGGGGAAACACAACCTATGAAGTGGGCAATGCGGTTAAGAGTTGCCTTATATCTTGCACAAGCATTGGAATATTGCACGAGCAAAGGACGTGCTCTTTATCATGATCTTAATGCCTACAGAGTTGTCTTTGATAATGAAAGTATCAAGTTGTCCATCCTTTTGAGATTTTCTCTCTAATGTATTAAGACCAAGTCTTGACAAAACTATTTCTTCACATGTCACAGGACGGCAATCCAAGGCTTTCATGCTTTGGTTTGATGAAGAATAGTCGGGATGGAAAAAGCTACAGTACAAACTTGGCATTTACTCCACCAGAGTATCTAAGGACTGGTATCATACCCTTACTCTCAACAGAAGTATTAAAGTTTGAAGTTTTTAATGCATGAATGATCAGATGCCAATTAGTTTGTTTTTATATAAGTTTGTGTAGTGATGTCCGTTTACTCATTTATTTAGAGTATACCATTTTCGTGCTTTTTTATTTGGCATATTTTTCTAATTAGCAAAGTTGGCAGTTCATATTGTTGGCCATTTATCAGTTTGTGTTCTCATGTGCCGTCAAGGGTGCCAAAATGTTTTCACTCATCAAAAAAGCTTAGTTACTGCTGCTTAGAGTAGCGATTTAACTGTTATATTTCATTTAGAAAAACACTTAATGTTGTATTATGAGTAAAAAATCCATGAATAGTCACTGCACTTAAGATTATTTTCAAAAGGAGGACTTTTAAATTACAGTATGGGTCTTTTCCCTTGTGGTTTGTTGACCCGCTTTGATTTTTGACCCATGCAGATGATGTATGTTATGTTTTAAGATATCGAAGGTTGTGGTTGCTGTTACTTGGCTCTCATATGAACTTAGAATGCATTTGGATGTGATTTTGTAAGTGATTACTGCTGACTCGAATGCTTTTCAGGAAGAGTCACCCCAGAAAGTGTAATTTACAGCTTTGGGACACTTATGCTTGACCTTCTCAGTGGGAAACACATTCCACCAAGCCATGTGAGTAATTCCTTATGCTAACTTATGGAAATTGCAGAATTTTCTGAGTAGCATGTAAATACTACTTCATGAGAAATTTTGTTAATAAGCTGTAGGAGTTTGTTTGGTACTTCAGATTGTCATGTTTTGCGGTAAAAAACATGTTTTGTAGTTTAAATTTGTTCTTATTGGTCGCTTGCACGTTCGTGGCCTCTAATTTTCATTCCCTTCCATCAGTGTAAGGCTTTTCCTTTTCTTGTATGTAATAGAATCTTCAGCATTCTGATTGATGTTGTGACTCAAGTTTTCCTAGAATCTGATTGTGGTCAAATACTATCAATTAATATCTGACGTCTGTTAGTTCAGAAAAGTGGTATGATGCAGCTTTATTGAATAATACATAAATGACACACAATGTTTTATTTGACTGGTACAGGCTCTTGATTTGATAAGGGATCGGAATCTTCAGATGTTGACCGATTCTTGCTTGGAAGGTCAATTTTCCAATGATGATGGGACTGAGTTGGTTCGTCTTGCGTCAAGATGTTTACTGTATGAACCACGTGAGAGGCCAAATCCAAAATCTTTAGTTTCTGCACTGATTCCTCTTCAGAAGGAAACTGAGGTGGGTACTTCTCTAGAAAAAAAGATTTTATGTGATTTGGTGAAACAATAAAGCTCCGGTAATACTTTGCTCGTTTTGGTATGTTTTTCATTCTTTTCTTTCTTTCCAGTTGCACCAAACTTACTCAGAGGCAACACTCTTAACCTGCTAAACACATCCTCTTTATTGGTGTGAATAATATGGTGAAGTGGCATGTAGACTCCAACAAATGATAAGTAATTTTGTTAAAATCAATATGGATACGATTATTGCAATGTTTGTACATGGGTCATAATGGGTTACTCCTCTAATATCTATCTATATATCTATATCTATATCTATATCTATTCTATATCTATCTATATCTATACTATTATAAAAGGACGAGTGATTTTGTAAAAATATGAACTGCCTAAAAGACCCTTACTTTGACATATTATTAGTGGTAAATTAGTAATACAGTAATACACATTTTATCTTATATTTTTAATTAAAAAACGAACTACCTAAAAACCAGTGTTCTAAAAGTCGCTAGGCGCCCGCTAGGCGCTCGACCAGTGCCTAGCGCCTAGAGTGCCTAGTCGGGGCCTAGGCGGCGCCTAGTCGGGGCCCAGAAATCAATAGTAAATACCGTATTTTTTATTTATTTTAGCTACCTACAAAATAAAATTATCTCAACATATAATAAATTCACACACCAAAGTCCAAATAATAATATTAATATATATTAAAGAAAACATAAGAACAAAATAATGTAATTAGTATTTAAAAAAATAAAAAAAATTAAAAAAAAACTGAAAAATTGCCGCCTACGCCCGCCTAGACGCCGCCTAACCGCCTGGCCGCCGAGCCCGCCTAGGAGCGCCTAGGGCCGCCTAGGCCCTACTAGGCGCCGCCTAGCCGCCTGGCCGATTTTTTCTGCCGATTTGTACAAATCGGAGGCGCCCGGGCACCGCCTAGCGCCTAGGCGGCGCCTAGGCCGATTTTTAGAACAGTGCTGAAAACCCTCTACTTTGACTTTTTTTAATGACAAATTAGTAATACACTAGATAAAATAGTATGTACTTTCATATTTTATCCAACCTAACGCCTAAGAATGGAATTCTAATTACATGCATCTATATAATTTTTGTACACTATATATACTTAAATTTTTATATATAGCTACGAACAAAAAGTCTTAAGATATTTGTTGGAAAAATTTTCAAATGTTATTAAAATATTTATTATATGTAAAATATTAATATAGAGTAAAACAATTTAGATTAATTATAATTGAAGTAGTAATTTCTAAAAGACCGAATGCTTATGAATTTTTATTAGTTTCTTTTTAACAAACTCCTGGTAATGAAAATAAAAACAATCAACAAATAAATGACACGATAGATAAATTTCTCAAAACTCATTATCATTATAGTCCAAATTTTCTATCAGCACAACAAATTTTCTCAAAACTCATTATCTTATGAGAACGTCAAAACCAAAATAAAAGAAAATCACTCTTTAATCATCTAACATAATTAAATAAAATAACTAATGAATCTATAATATACATTAGGTCCTTCTTTCGTGATTTTGTATTTTTTTTCCCTTAGGGACTATATTTTTGTTGGGGTTGTAATATGCTATTTCATTCTTTTATATTAGGACATCATTATGTTTGTTCTATATTTTGCTTCGTTCTTGTAATGATATGTTTAATAAATTAATTAATTTATTTTACTAAATTTAATCGGCAAAAAACATTCGCCACCACATGTGATGCACGTGCACTTTACTAGTTAACATCAAATGAGAGACTCAGTTAGAATATCAAGTGTGGAATATCTCTGCATATGGAATCCCTCAAATAAATTTTTTTGTCTTACTCGTTAGCTGGGATATTTAGTTCACATATTGCTGGCTTAAATTAAAAATATTGTAGACATAAGGTTATCCTTTCCTGGTATCGATACTTATACTTCTTTTACAGGTACCTTCTCACATTTTAATGGGCATTCCTCATGGTGGAGAGATTTTGTCTCTGTCGCCTCTTGGTGAAGCATGCCTTAGAAAGGACTTAACTGCCATACATGAGATTTTGGAAAAACTTGGCTACAAAGATGACGAGGGAGCCACAACTGAGGTCTGTTTCTTGTTTTGTGTTACCCAAGAAGTTCCATTGCAGGCTAATACAAATTTAAATATCTTTCATTTTGTAACTTCATCTCATATCGTGTGCAAATTTTAACGCTTAGTGTGCTAATCTCTCTAATCCTGACTCCAACTGTGAGTTTGTAGTTTATTTATGGTTAATATTTTCGTTAGATACAACTTGATCTTCGTCTCATGAATGAACTCTCTGTCTTATACCTAAGTTAGCTTATTCAGTCTTAGCAGCTTTAGAGCAGTATGAGAATTATGGTCCACCAAGAGCTAATTGTATTGAGTTATGCAGCTTTCATTCCAGATGTGGACGAATCAAATGCAGGACACACTGAGCTCTAAGAAGAAGGGAGATGCTGCTTTCCGGCATAAAGATTTTAGAGTGGCAATTGATTGCTTCACACAGGTTATAATCGTTGCTATGTTCCTCTCATTAAAAAAGTTCAGGCTAAGAATATTTTCTTATCCAGTTATGACCGGTGAAGTCTTTTAAACTTCTTATGGTGTTATGTGTTAATAAGGTCTTTAACCCAATACAAGAAACTGAGTCATTTTTTTTAAAAAAAAAAAATATAAAATGAAGTGACACTTAAGGCTATGCTTGGATTGAGGTATTTGGAATCCGTGGGATTTCATATGTAGATTTCAAACCCCTTGAATTTCAAATTTCATTCTTTAAAATTCCTTATTTGGATATGGAGATATATTTAAGGAGTCATTTGAAATCTCTCTGAATAATGAGTAAAATCTATTGGTTTCCTTTGAAATCGTCCAATTTCTGTTGTCATCCAAACATTTATGTGAATTTGGACTTGGGAAATCATAATTTATAGACCTAAATCCCTCAATCCAAATACTAACTCTTGAAGTTTTACAAATAACCGTATGACATTTGGACTTGTTTAATAGATATTATCTCTATAGGTGCAATCAATTTGTATGTGGAAGTCATTTGTTGATGAATCACAGTTGCCCAAACAACAATTAAAAACTATAATTTTACGTTGTCTTTTGTGCAGTTTATTGACGTTGGAACAATGATGTCCCCAACGATTTATGCTCGTCGTAGTTTGTCATATCTCATGAGCGACATGCCTCAGGAGGCTCTCAATGATGCAGTCCAAGCACAAGTCATATCCCCCGTTTGGCACATTGCTTCATATTTACAAGCGTCTTCACTTTTTGCTTTGGGGAGGGATAACGAGGCCCAAATCGCGCTTAAAGAAGGTTCAATTCTAGAGGAAAAGAATAACACAACTTCTTCCTGATATGTTTATAAAACCACAAAAATTCCTCTCGTCGGTCAAGGACAAGATCACCACAAGTCTATTGAAAAAAAAAAAGAAAAAAATGCAGGAAAGAGAAAACATGTTGCTTTGCACTTTTGCGCTTTTGGGAAGCTGATTTAACCGCTTTTTCAATAAGGCAGTTTAGGTAAATTATGATTTGGTGGAAACGGAATGGACCATCTATCACATGTTGATAAGAGAAAGGATCGGTTTTGGGATGTTGGGGAGAATTTTCCATACAGTGGTTCGTGTACAGTGCTATATGACTTGATCATTCAAGGCCCTTTTTTTTTTTAATTTTGTTTCTTTATATTCCCTGTTATTGTCTGTATTTGGTCACTACTTTATATTGTCTGTGGAAGTAAAATTTTTCTAAGGTCACTGAATTGCTTTGCAATTGGCAAAGATCTGGTGATTGAGTGCTTGAATTGGTTTGAATGGTTTGCCTCAAGCTTGAGCCTGTATCCTACTGTTTGGTTTGCAAGTGATTGATGGTTGGAGTTGGAATTGGATTCATGTGGATAACTATATTCGTCAAGTTTTTTATATTTTGTTGTAATATTTATATTTTTACGTATCTCGGTCAAGGATGCAAATTCTTGTTGTGCAAAAAAGCTGCTAAAACGTTTCTGCTTAAACACGTGCAGTATGTCGACCATTTCCAAAAGGAAAAATTGAAGAGAATGTATTCAAGGTGTTAATTTTTAAAGACTTTTAAAACTTTTAAATTTGTTATATTCAGTACTGTACTAAAGATCGCCTAGGTGGTCGTCTCCGATTTGCATAATTGGTTGAAAAAATCAAGCAGGCGACGTCTACACGAGTTCGGCGACAATTTTCAGTTTTTTTAATATTAATTACATTATTTTGTTATCATGTTTTTTTTAATAATATATTATATTAGTATTTGGACTTAGGTGTGTTGATTTATTATAAATTGAGATAATTTTATTTTGTAGGTATTAATTTCTAGACTGCGGCTAGGCGCTGGTCGAGCGCCTAACCGGCGGCCAGTGACTTCTAAAACACTGATATTTAGTTGAAACTTTTTGAGACTTCTTAAAAGTCTATCCATATTCAATTAAAACTTTTAAAGATTTTTTTTTAAATCTCTAGAATTATCATACATTGAAACTTTCTGAGAATCTCTACAAATCACTTGATATTTAAAATAGAAAGACTTTATGAGACGTTTTAAATTGAAAGACTTTTGGAAACTTTTTTTTTAATAAAATTACAAAGACAAAGTCATCGTGAAAATCTCATCAAATTGGTGAGATTTTGCTGGAGTTACGTGACTCTTCAAGCTCTTTTCTATAAGTTTTAATGTACACAATTATATATGTTATATTATTTTCATAGTCAATTATCTTACTAATTTAACTTGATAACTTGTGTAACTCTTTTTTTTTCCACAAATGTTAACGTGATTATTTTTATTTATTTATATTATTATTATGGTTATTTTATTGTATGGTTATTTATATCGTCTAATTTGCTTGCTTCTGAATTTAACTTTTTGAAAGTTAAATGTTTGTATAGTTTACACTTGTTAAGAATTTTACTTTCATCACTGTCTTGTTCGTGTCTTGTAAAAATATATCATAATAATATATTTTTTAATACCGCAACATGATGAAAAAAAAATAAAGTTTAGCAATAAATCATATAAATATGTCATCACCTAGATGATTATGAGTGTCATTACATACGAGATAAGTAACTCTTGTTTGAGTTTGTGCTTGTTTAATCGACTCGTTGAAGCACGCAAAAGGTCGAATCAACTTGACACATTTAATAAACCTAAAACCGTAAACGAATTGTCCGTGAAAATAAAATGTGTTGCAAACAAGTTTGACGCGATTGTGTATTTCATGAAAAATACATAATAAAAAAATAAAAAGTTCGTGAACAAATTACTTTGGTTTGTTTAATAAACAAGCTCGATTCCTTCAAGAAAATAAATGAGCCGAAGTTGAGCTTTCACAAGCAGAACCGAGTTGTGTTCGTGAATAACTCAGTTTGAATAACAATTTTATGGTTGATTCACAATTTTTTAGAGAATTATTTATTCAAATTTTACTTAGACACATGCAATGCCACAAAACATTTTGTTTTTCTTTCTTCTTGTCAAATAAATGTTGTTTACTATCAAAACTCATTCCAGTATAGTATTTCTTAAAATAAATCTAGTTTGATTTTATTGATATTGATTATGATGATGCGAGGTTCATGAACATTTCATACAAACGTATTGGTTATACTATAAGCATATACAAGTCTCAATAAGTTTCACAAAGTACACGATTAAAGTTTTAAAAAGTCTCTGATAAGATTTATATAAAAATATCAGAAAGTCCACCAAATTCATTAAGGTGTATTCATTTGGAATTCCTAGAGACTTTTTAAGAATTCATAAAATCCTAATGCATTTAATTTAGACTTTATAAGACTTAAATGTCTTGAGGTATTTATTTTAGATTTTAAAAAATCTTACAAAATCTTAAGGTAGTTAACTTATTTGAGACTATGATTTGTTGAGACTTTTTAAGATTTGTTGGGATTTCAAAATAAAAAATCATATAGGAAATCCTACTACAAACTCCACCTCCAGACTTAATATGTCACATCTCCCTATATTTTAATTCAAAACGTGCTGAGCCTAAGTGGCAGGCTCGCACGCATTGAAATCTTACATGTCACAATATTATTTGATTTGTATTTAGGTTCGGATAAAAAACTTGGAAACAAAAATAGGTTGGAAAGTGCCATAATTAATTTTTCCACCATACATAATCAATCTCTCTTTCATTACCAAATTTATTTTGAATTTAAAGATCACAAAAAGCTTTCTTTCTTTATTTCATTTTCCATTTTAAAGATCACTTGAATTTAATAATTGAGTTAATAATTGAACTTTTATTTGACAGGAGATCAATGCCGAGTTAACAATGTTTATTTTATTTGATAATTGACAATGTTTAATTTGATAATTAATTTTGTATATTCTTTTATCTGATAATTGAATTAACTAACACCATATCTACATTATCTTTTTTATATATTCTTTTATATGATAATTGAGTTAACAATGTTTCCAAATTTTATGTTAATATAGGGTAACAAATTTCTTCACACTCCAAAATCTTGAATTGAATTCGTATCGGGATTCTTTTATATATTAACAATGTTAATATATGCTACGATACTAAACTCTTTTATTTTTTTGTTCATATTATTTTTTCATGCACCAGTGCACAGGTGTCGTACAAGTGATTACTCTAAATTTGAAAATATTAAAAAGTCTCAAATCTCAAAAAGTCTATAAATGTGAACCTTCTTACACCTTGCTCTAGTCTGTTTGGACCCTTGTGTTTTGGGAATGATTTTGAGTTTAAGTACTTACAGCTATGAACAACCTTGGAACGGTCCTCAACAGTCTACAACTCGCCTTCTACATATGTTCCACGTCAAAAATCGCGTTGAAGCATTAAGAAGAATGGACTCGTTCTTGCGAAATGAGTTGACCTCAGAAATGATTTTTTCATGCATTAAAAATTTAGGTTACCATAATTTAATATTTTTGTTAATTATGTACATCAACTTGTGATGTATTTATCTTTCTCTCCAGGTTTTACGCCAAGTTGACTGTTCATTTGA